GACTTTAACATCCAAGTTGATGATCCCTCTGATCACTTTGCCATGAATTTCTCTAGCCTTATGGACTCCCTCAGCTTTACCCAGCATGTTTCTGGCCCCACACACACCAGGGGCCACACTCTAGACCTTGTTTTTTCCCTGGGTCTAAATGCTGACAGTGTTTGTCCTGAGGACGTTTATATTTCAGATCATCATTGCATTTTCTTTAACTTGTCAGTTTCTGCGTCCCCACCTCCAGCTCGCCGTATGGTTAGTTCTCGTTTTCTTAATGAGAGCATAGCTAGCAATTTTTCTGCTGCTTTTGATCCACCCTTTTCTTCTGATAACGACCCAGATTCCTTAACTTCTCAGTTTAACGAGCACTGCCTCTCCATTCTGGACAATATCTGTCCTGTCAGAACCAGATCAGTTCCTGCAGTGAACCCGACTCCCTGGTTTAATGAATGCCTCCGCAGCCTAAAGCACCAATGAAGAAAAAATTGAGCGCTTGTGGAAGAAAACCCATCTCCACGTCCATCTGCTGCACCTAAAGGATCTTCTGACATCCTTTAACTCTGCAGTCAGAGATGCAAGGGTTTCCTATTTTTCCAACCGGTGTCCCAGAGCAAAGGCAACCCCAAGGTGCTGTTTAACACCATCAGCAGCATGGTCTCTCCTGCCTCTCCTACAGCCTCCATCCACTCTGTTGCAGACTGTGAGAACTTTCTGTCTTTCTTTATGGACAACAGCACCCCAGCTTATAGAAAACAACAAGCTAGCATGCTAGAAGGGGCGGGGTCTCATTTTCACTCTCTCTGTCACTTCCTCATTCACACACACTCACTGTTAGTTTAATATAGAGCTGAAATGATAGTAGTTGGTGTAAATTGTGTTTTTTTTTCTCATTTTATGGGATTGTGTTGTATATAACAGCATATCTAATTCCATTTCTATGTCAGGTTACTGCCCCCTACTGGTCACTTTGAGGTGCACAGCTTTGTTGCCTGGCCAGCCATGCCAGTGCTTCCTTATGGGACGCATAGGGCCTGGTAACACTCCCATTCAAATAGCTCCACCCCCTGAAAATTCTAATTGAGCCAATCAGCACTAAGCAGCGTGGATACGTCACACACCACTAAACAAAAATGTCATCTGAAGTGGAATTCACTGCGGCTCTGTCTTCTGTTCTAAATGACTAGAATGTCTTTAAAACCACAACAAATAGAAGCGTTAAAAGCCTTTCTTCTAAAGAAAGATGTTTGAGCCATCGCCAGACATCATCTTTGACCACAGCTAAAAAACTACAGCTTTGTGCGATAGTCGTCATTTCCGCCTTTTTTTCTGATTGGTTATTTTTGAGCTGGCTAGTCCCGCCCCGTAGAGCACTATGAGCACTTTGCCTCTCAGTGTCCAGACTCTTCCTCTGTGTAGAATAGACAGAGAGCGACAGAGTAGCTACAGAGCTAATGCCATCCAATTGAAGTTACAGCTGCACACACAGCTTTCACAATCGTGTTCTATTACTAAATGGGACATCCACTGAAGCTGTTGAAACACATTTGCAGAAATATTTGTGCAATGATATAATGTACAATATTTAGCTTTTTACTTCCACAAAAAGCTAGTTTTAGTTTAGATACTACAGAAAACGGGGACAGCTTCCCTTTAAATTTAAAAGCCATCTCTTGTTAATTAAGCCATTATTTTTGAAGTCGGGGTGAATAGCTCGCTGGCTACTGTGCCTCCAGGCGAGTGCATCTGGACTCAGGAGCTACGGATCGTGTTGTAGACCCCTACTTTACATGAATCACTCCTTGAAACCTCCACCAATCACAATTCAGCAATTTCTTGAATGCAACTTTCAGATGTTGCTCAGTGACTGTTGCATGTTTACTTTTCTTTATGTTTTCTGTCTCCATGACTTGTCATGCATGGTCGGTTTAGACACCATCAAACGGATTCTTTACTTCGTTTTTAATCTTCGTTTATTTGACGCAGGGCTAAAGTAGACTCACTAAGCCAGAGAAGAGAATCCCCAAAATGTTTTTCACTGAGTACTTCTTCACATGGCAGGTATTGAGTCTTTATACTGTCCACATTCACAGGCTCCAGGTATCAGAGCTTTTCTGATCAAACTGTGGTCATGTTTATCTATAGATTGAAATGCTACACGTATAAGCTCTCATTCCAAAAAGATTCAAATACTTTAAAATAGAGAACACTCCCATCCCTCTAACTCTATATTGATTGCATTTCTCAGCACTTCTCTGTGTATTATAATTGAAAGTGTTCACATCGGTGTCCAGCTGATGCAGAGCCAAGTCCCATGGATGTATGAGTATGCTCTGTAGCCAGCTAACCTCTGCTCAACACCTGCTGGCCAGTTCCAGCCAGCTCCAGCTACTTAATCCCATTTACTGAGACAGCCGTTAAATTATTCAGCGTTCCAATGAAAATTCCTTCAATATTCATAAGGTTCCCTTTCATATCCGCATAAAAAAGAGCGGATGTGAGCTTGTTTATTTTAAAAACCATCACCCGACACTGACGTCACAGCAAAGTTTAAAAAAGCATTTTTATCAGACACGTTGGTCAAGCAGACGAAATGTGGAGAACAGAAGATATTAAAAGAGCAGGACGCTTTTGTTCTTTTGGGCCATCTTGCAGCCTAATGAGAAATGACGCCACAAGGCGGATGCCAAAGAGGCAGTCCTGCTGCTGTGTTGTCATTTATGTAAGCAGTTAGGCAGATGAAGCTACAGCCCTCTGAGCATAAATCAAAGCCTTCAGGTTAAGCACGAGCTGGGACATTTGTAGGAATCCTCCTTTCTGAGAAATCCATCCAGTTCCTAAACCTATCACTGCAATTATTGATGTCAGCATCAACCGGAGGAGCAGCATTCTGCTTCCCGCCTGTAGCTCTCCTCCCCACCCCCTCCACTGACTCGGCCTGTTTACCATGTACACGAGTCAGTGACCTTTACAGATAATTCTCTTATGTAAGACCAATAATTGTTCTAGATTTGAAAAAGACGCATGCAAGTGGCCCAGAGCTCGGATGTCTTTGGAGTTGGGTGAAATGCTGCCGCGTTCACCAAGGAGGGGAAAAATAAAAGGAAGGAGATGAGAAATAAGCATGAAGGAAGCAGCGAGCCAGAGCCAAATGGGATAGTACGCTTTCAAAAGAGCCCAACTCTTCACCTCCTCGTTTTAACACAGCGCTAGGTGCCACGTGCACCTTGAGTCTTTGCAAGCGACTCTGAAAATGGCCTGCTTGGTGCAGAGAACCCTGCAAGTTTTCATTTGTACGCCGGAGAGAACAAACTGCAGAGATATGCAGGAATAAATTGAAGTTGCATAGATGATCCTCGCCTGCTGAGGTGCTTTTTATATTCTTGACCACCAGAGACCTGTTGGCTAAAATGAGGAAGTGCAGAGAGACAGAAAGGGAGGAGGAAGGTGGCTCACAGCGCTGACAATCGGCAAAGATAAAACTTGGAGAAGCGGCAGAGCTGGCAGAAGTGTTCACTTTCCTTTATTTGAGTTTCTTCATGTGGACAAAGACGGAGTCAGAGAGGCAGACAATCACTGATGTTTGCTGCCAGCTATCAGAGAACGAGGGGAGAGATACAGAGGCTCCATCTCCACATTGTTAATTAGAAACTCTCCCTCAGCAGAGTGCTCACTGAAGGAAAGATTCACAACGAGGCTAAGACTTCATTTTTATCAAGCTACTTCAACCAGGCAGTAAAACGCCCGACAATACCGGGGTACTATCACACATCGGATTCTGCTTTGTGCAGGAGATTGTGCAAGGTATGATCATTACCTATAGATTGTGAGTGTGTGTGTGTGTGTGTGTGGGTGGGTGGGGGGTGGGGGGTTAGAGACAGAGGCAGGCCAGTATGGGAAAATAACTTAGAGGCTGATTTCCTGCTTGGGGGATTGCATCTCATTTTCAATGGCATAATGGACCAAGTGTGGTCTCGTGTGAGCTTTTACTCCCTCCTGGTGGTTAATAAGCTCCCTACAGGAGGCTGAGACGTCCAAAGTCAACATCAGCAGAAAACAAGACATCTCAGCTCAAGCAGAGATGTCAGAGACTTTGCTTTAGCTCATTTTGTGAAACGTGATCCATGATGTATGCTCCTCCATTTTCCCTTGGTGCTTTTAGGTGTAAAAGCTTGAACTTTAAAAGCACATCTTCCATTTAAGATCAGCCAGTTCAGAATGCTTTTGCACTTTACGACAGTTTAGTCAGTGTGTGTGAACGTATGTCATATGGGAGTCAACTGTGTCAACAGGAAATCAGATGAGTCAACCAAGGTGTTCTGTTTGGAAGATAATTTTGTCGGCTTCAATCTGACGTCCATGAAACTCCTTCTTTGTGTCGACACGTGGAGCAACAGGAGGCACACACACAGTGAGGAGCGCCGCACGACAAAGCATCAAACTAGAGAGAGTGAAAAGGAGAAAAGTGATCCAAAAAAATAAAGATGGAAAGGAAATAAAAACACATCGGACATCGGAGCGGTCCAGATAATTAGCAAATGGTAGCAGCTCTGCTATCAGCCTCCATCACCTCATTGGTCCAGCCCAGCAGCACTATGCCCCCATTATTAAATCACTGCCAGCCATGATTACAAAGGTGGGAAGTCCTCTGTTGTCGTGAAGATAAGCCATCGCAACTCAGAGACTCACACAAAGTCACACTATGATTTACCAGATAACAAAACTGAGACTGAATTGGGGTATTTCACACATTATCAACCACAGAAGAGAAAGAAAGGAAAGATCAAGTCTTAGAAGATGGATTTCATTTATGCAAAACTCTTCAATTATTGCTCAATAAGCAGAAGAAAACCAGCCTCGGAGTCCTTGAATGAAACCTGGATGAATGTGGAAATGCGTGTATAGCAGAGACCGTAACAAAAGCTCTGTGCTTCAACTTAGCTAGCCTTTTGGCCAGACTTCATTAACTGCATGAAAAAAAAACAGAAGGGTAGCACTTTAAGACTCACGATCGTTGCAGTGGGTCCCCGTGTAAGACGTCATGGAGCAGTCACAAGTAAAGTTCTCCCACTGCTGGATGCACACGCCCATGTTAGCACACGAGTCCTCCTGGCAGGTGGTGCTCGGGCCTGAAGAGAGGAGGAAAGAAAAGACACAGCGGGTGTAGTCAGACGACAACAAAGGGATGCTGAGGATAAAAGAGGAGGGACCCATGCAGAAGAAATGTACTCTATAGGCCTAGAAGAGAGCACGAGGAGCAGACAGTGTCACCACAGGAAGCCTGACCTGGACCACCACACGGCGTCGGAGGAATCCCCTCTCATGCCGGGCGATGCTGCAGCTGTGAGGCTACGGGGTGCATGGCACACTTTTAAAAAGGGCTTTTTCAGCCATCTTTAAGTGTGTTTCTGTGTAACACTCATAAATAATGTTAGCGTCCCGAATGAAAAAAAAAACAGTATTTATGTCCAGCAGAACTAATGAGATTACGGTTATTCTCAGCATAGGCAAAAGTGTTTTGCTGTAATGAAATGACAGTTTGACAAATGTTTACATTTACACAAATTTTAAAAATATATGATTATGGAATAGTGTTTTTATTTTTAAGCACATCGGCAACGTTTGGCTGTTACGCTTGGCTATGCGATCAATAATATCTGCTTTTCAATTTTAATATAAATGACTAAGAATGACTCCAGCTCACCCATGTGAGTCACTGATCAAGATTAAAAGATCAAAAGTTGAAGACCACTTAGAAGTGGCCAAAAATCATGTTTTGCAGGATTGGATCTTAACAAGGATCTAAGTAGAGCTTCAACATGCAAAACCAAGAAACGGGAGTGAGACTAAACATTTTTTTCAGTTACTTTCATGCTCAGAAAATGTTTTGTCTCACTCCCGTTTCTTTGTGTTGCATGTTGAAGCTCTACTTAGATCCTTGTTAAGATCCAACCATGCAAAACATGATTTTTGGCCACTTTTCATGGAATCCTAATCATTTGATTGGGATTGTCTAAAGTTTATTAGTTGGTGTCCACTTTTGGTTATTTTTTTTAATATATTTTTATCAGCTAAATGTTTTTATAGGAGTTCAATGTAATCTAGTAGGATGAAGTGTGTGAATGTGTGTGTGTGAATGGCTGAATGACTGATTGTGTTGCGAAGCGTCTTGGGTTGTAGAACCCTAAGAAGGCACTATACAAATACAGACCATTTACCTTTTATTATCTTTATTATTTTACCATTATTTTAAGTATTTTTATTTTAAAATATGTACTTTCATAAGTTTTAATCACCACCAAATGAAAATACTTGCTAATGTAAAAACTGATGCTAGCAATCTTCCGAAGTCTTGATACCGTTTCCCACAGAGGAATAAAATCTTGATCCCAAATTTTTCGGTCGACATTGAAACAATAAGAATAACCGTTACTATTTCTTAGTTTGGGGACACTTTAGTGCAGCTCATCAAAATAGTTTTAATGTGTTTTTATCACGTAAAGCCGAAAACAGCGGTGTCCTAATCTTGATCCGTGAGCCATCAGTGTTTTAGAAGTGTTGCTGCTTCAAGCATCGTTGCAAAGTGGAATAAGAAAAAAATGGTTTGGATGATTTCAAACATAAACACTACACTTTGATACACGTTGTGCTCAGATTAGCTGTTGGATCATCAATCCCACCGAATGCACACTACTTCAATTCAATTCAATTCAAGTTTATTTATATAGCGCCAAATCACGACAAGAGTCGTCTCAAGGCACTTCACATAATAAACATTCCAATTCACAGTTCATTAAGCCAATCAGAAATAATGTTTCCTATATAAGTAACCCAGCAAATTGCATCAAGTCACTGACGAGTGTCAGTGACTATACAGCAATCCTCATACTAAGCAAGCATGCAGCGACAGTGGAGAGGAAAACTCCCTTTTAACAGGAAGAAACCTCCAGAGAATCCTGGCTCAGTATAAGCAGCCATCCTCCAAACTTCCCCAAACAGAGGCCCTCCAGGAAGCATCTGAAACATACGTTTTACTTTTATTGAAAGAAAACTTTGAAAAGGCGGCAACATCCTCGTAAGCAAAGTGATTGAATCCAATACTCTGAATTAATGAGTGAAAAACCTGCTGCTGAGTGCTCGTGTCTGAAAGTGAGCACACATAATCCCTATTGAAGACATGCTGCTGCAGATGAGTGGGATCCGGGCTTGGCTTGATGCGATGACACTGTCCCTCTGTATTTCATAGTCTGACAGCGTGCGCAAGTGGACTCATGCATGCAATCTTTAATCATTCCGATGTGTTTCAGCAGAGTAAAACTTAGAACGCTGCATTCCCTCTGTCAACAGGCAAGATAAGACATCAAACATATCTAAACTGTTTTACAAATGACTCACAAGGAATTCCACGTAACAACAGCTAAAAATGGCCTCAAGCAAGGCTCTGGTAATTCTATAAACGACTGTGCGACAATACTAGATCTAGAAGACAGACAGAATCACCAAGAGGAGAAAAGAAACGTAAAGCGCACTCAAGAACACACAGCACATATCAGGTATGCACCAGAGAGAGACAGGAATCGAGGAGGGTATTCAAAGTCAAACCGGATGTGTGTTTGCTACTCCTCACGCCACACATAGCCCTTACTTTTGAATACTTCTAGAGGGAGGGAATGCAGATACAGACGAGCGCACTACATAGATAACAAGATAAACAATCATCCATAAAGAGTGGAGACAGACAAAGGAGGACAAACCTCCACACTCATTATTCTAATGACCTTGTATAAATAAATATGTACAGAGGAAACGGAAGAAAATTAAAAACCAAAAGTCAAGTAAACACTAGAAGAAGATGGACGACAAATGCAAGTAAACATCGTTTAAAAGCAATTGTCTTGTGCAAGACAACGTGAAGAGAAGAAGACATTTGAGGTGGAAAACAGAGCAAGTTCGCCAGCTGAAAGTGCATTTACTGTGTAATGTACAGTAACGGTAGTCAACCAGGCATCCCAAACACCTTCTCTGTGTGTGCGTGTGTGTGTCGGTGCACAAACGCAATGGCTCTCAGTAAGCAAAGGTGGATTTAATTGCATTCCAGAGCTGCACACGGACGCTTGCTCTCTGAAAAAAGAAAAATACACACGTACAAATATATGTGGGATTTTAGGGGGGAAATGAGGAGCTGGAGAGGAAAAAGAGGCTCGGTGCAGCAGCAGCATGGTGACGGTATTTAAATGTGCAGTGACAGCCCCTTTTTACCGCCTGTGCAAGCCTGCCATGTGTCACAGCTGGCATTTTCACTCGGCAGCTCTCAACTCCCACAAACTCTTCCTGTGCCTCTATTTATCAGCATTCAAACAATTCACCTGTCTGCAAATCCGTTTTTAATCATAATCTGTGCATTTTACTTACTTCAAGTTCACTAACAGGTGAGTGTAGGCTTGAATGGGACAATTTGGCAACTCCATTCACAAAAATGCCCTTTTAAATTTTAATAGGCTAGAAGACCGTTGCACGACTATAGAATCAGGCACACAGATTTCCTCCCTGCTTTATTTTTCTTATCAGTTTTACCCCCCATCAGAGAACAAGTCACCGCTGCAGCGACTGGAAGCCATTATTGCCATGGTGACACGCACGATGCATTGCACACAGCAACCTTTCAGGCGAGCTGGCCTTCGAGAGGCGGAGTTTAACCGTCTACCTTGTAGGTCGGCTTTGGTGAAACCAACTTTGTTGGCGCAGAAAAAATAAAAAATAAACAGAACAAAGCAGAGCAGGAAACAAGAGGAAAGGTTAGTGAGGCGCCAGCATCGTTAGTGTGCTCTAAAGCTGTCTGACACTGCCTACGTGGGAACCTCGTCAGGTTAGGAAACAGGCTCCTATAACAGCTCTAACAAGGTGTGTGTGTGTGTGTGTGTGTGTGTGTGTGTGTGTGTGTGTGTGTGTGTGTGTGTATGTGTGTATGTGTGGGGCTTTAAACAACAGTTTGAAGCACTCAGTATGATTCCCAAGGTTGGGTAATTTAGAAAAAAGAAAGTCTTATACTGCCCTCTACAGGAAATCTGAGAAATAGTTTATAACTTGTAAACCAGAAAAACAATATTCATGATACACAATTATTCCCTTTTGGAAAACATGGTCAGAAAATATGAAATCCTATTCAAAACAAACTTAAATTAGACGTGATGTGTCGTGAATTTGTTCTAAATATGTAACAACAACAGATCACTGTGTGCAGCTGCACTGCTGATTTAAAAAGAAAAAAAAAACGCATCAACCACTTTTCCTGTGGATAAGAATATTAGTGGTTAGAAGAGAAAAGGATGAGGCTGCTTGGACATAGGAAGTGCTGACATGGGAGGTGAGCTCAGGGCTGCACAGAAGGGAGAAGAAATTGTACCAATTTAGGGTAATAATTGCCAAAAATACAGTATATCAGGGACATAGCTAGTTTTTCTAGCTGCAACTCAAATGCAGCACGCGTTTGTCAGGTTGGTAAAGAAATGGTGTGGGATTTGGGGGTCCCAAAACCAAACACAACCTGGAACATTTGATCCATCCATCCATCCATTTTCTGAACCCGCTTTGTCCACGTAGGGTCGCGGGGGGTGCTGGTGCCTATCTCCAGCGGTCAACGGGCAATCAGGCGGGGTACACCCAGGACAGAGTGCCAGTCCATCGCAGGGCAACACAGAGACACACAGGACAAACAACCATGCACACACACACACACCTAAGGACAATTTAGACAGACCAATCAACCTAACAGTCATGTTTTTGGACTGTGGGAGGAAGCCGGAGTACCCGGAGAGAACCCACGCATGCACAGGGAGAACATGCAAACTCCATGCAGAAAGATCCCAGGCCGGAAAGCGAACCCAGGACCTTCTTGCTGCAAGGCAACAGCTCTAACCACTGTGCCACTGCGCAGCCTGAACATTTGATCCAAACATCTTAAATGATTTACAAGTCCTGAACTGAGGGGTGAAAAATCCTCAAGCGAGAGAAGTCCAGCTGGTTGTTGTTCTAAACTAAGAATAGGGAAGATCTTTCAACAGCAGCACCAAGTGCAAGTAGAGCTTCCATTTTGTTCTTACACTGAGTACAGAATAATATAAAGATGCAGGGGGAGAGTCACCAAAGCCTCATAAAACCAGCAAAAGTCAAGAGGGCTGTGGGTTATCACGGCCATGGCATCCTCTGCTTCCTATGTTAAAGCAGCCTGAGGCATGCTGTTGAGAGTTTTGTTGATGAACGTCTAAAATTAAATCTTGCCTTGTTTGAAAACCTAAAAACTGAAATAAAACTTGCATTTTTGGGCAAATGAGCTTTAGAATTTTCTTAAAATAAACTGGAGAAACAGAATGGCACATCTGAAGCACCATCCAATAATGTGGAAAATACCTGGCAACAGGGAAGAAAACGAGGATTAACGATGCTTCTGAATGTCTTCAAGGCCAACTCTGGAGCTTTCTAATTATCTCGATAAATCTCACTCAGTCAGTGACTCGTGATTCTTAGACACCACAGGCTGTTTGTACCTTCGCAGCCACGCTCGATCTGCCCGCTGCGGAAAAGGGCATCATTGATGAGGTCTGGCAGGCGGCCGTTGAGATCAACAGAGGCCAAGCAGCCCTGGAAGCCCTCACGAGAAACCACCAGCTTGGGGAGATTCTGATACATGTTGGGTCCCAAACCACCAACGAACAGGTCACCTGATGGGATGCAAAGGTGTACGTTTAGATTTGCCAAGAGAACACACGTTTTCTAAGAGCAGCAACCATCATCCGTACCTTTAAGGTCGAGGTTTTTCGCTCCGTTGACATTCTGAGTCACTGATTTTGTGTCCACCTTGAGTGTGTGCGTGTTGGCAGCATCCCGCGTGATGACCACGTTGTGCCACTGATTATCATTCAGTGGGTTGTCACTGTTCCCCTTCAACAGGCTGGGTCCATTCCCCAGATCGAACACGTAGTGGATAAACCTGGAGAAGCAGTAGCAGCGGAGCACGAACAGATCAACATTGGGATCGATAGTCTTATCAAAGCTGTTGGACTCATAATCTAAACTCACATTGACGCGGCTAATTGAAATGCATCCCTGACTTTTCAGTAAAGCATTGATACAAGCATCAATATTTCTGCTCCCACTAACCCTTTGACCAGTTCCACTGCAATGAAGTCGCTCCCATCTCCGCTGTTAAAGATGATGAACCCATCAGGTGAGGTGGTTTTGAACTGAAAGAACAGGTGCATTGTGGTATATGCCTGCAGCGTGGCTAGGCCCAGGTAGCTGCCCTTCGTCTTGAAGGTAACGGGATCGGCGACGATGAAGCGCATGCCAAATCGGGCGTTGAGTTCGCAAAAGTCTATGTCTCCGTTCTTGCACATGTCAATATACTGCAAACCATTGAACTTGAGGCTCTGAGAGAAAGCCAAACACAAAGTGATTAAATGATGCCAGAAACAAAATGATCGTTTCATATGGAGGTGGTCAAGCTTGAACATATTTGTCATCTTAAGATTACCTAAAATACTGAAAACGTCTTCAGATCGCAGACACCACTGGGACATTGAGTACGTACCATAACAGCTGCAGCATAACTGCATTGTTGCTGTTGGTACAGCTGTTAGTTTACATATTAGTTTAAAAAACATTAGATCATATTGCAGGTTAGAGCCTCCTTTGAATAAACAGATAAACATAACAGGAACTCGCTCTAGGTCCAGTGACCAAAGCCTACTGGTTGTGCAGCACCAGGCTAAAGACCAAAGGTGACAGATCATCTGCTGCTGTGGCCCCCAGACTCTGGAGCTCTCTCCCCCTGAGCCTGAGATCAGTGGACTCAGTGGTCTCCTTTAAAAAGCAGCTGAAGACTCACTTGTTCAAAGTGGCTTTTGTATGACCTTCTTCACCACTCTCTCTTTATTCTGCTCTCCCCACCTATTCCACCTTCCTCGGGATCCACTGATTTCTCTCTTTCCTATTCACTCTTTGTCTTTCTTAACATTTTTTTAATCACAATTGTCTATTTTGTGCTAATTTTAAATATATTTTAACCAGTTTCTAAATTCTTTTTTACATTTTTTGTTTTTGTGAAGCGCCTCGTGATTTTTATCCTGAGAGGCGCTATAGAAATGATATTTTCTTCTTCTTCTTCTAACTAAAAATGTACAAATAAATAATTTATTTAGGCCTTGAGAGTCATTATTGTGAGAAAAGTGTTTTTTTTCTGCCAAACCAGACGTGACACAGGCAGAGGGAGTCCTGTTGGCTTGCTTCTGAGAAAATTTTGGGATTTTAATGTTGGCTCTGACACAGAGGAAACTTTAAATGTTTATAATTATACTTCTGGTAGACCACAACCATACAGTTATGGGCCTGCTGCACGCCCCGGAGAGCAGAGGCAAACCAGAGGGAGAAACGATGGACAAAGGAAAGAGATTTAGCTGTGGTGTTAGGAGGTTCTGTGGAGAGAGCAGGTGTCTCGGTGAGGGAACAATGCCAGCTAGCTAGCTAGCTAGCTTAAACTTGTGTGCAAATATCATAATGTTTAACAAATTACTGCCATGTACCAGACAATTAAAATAGTATTGGTAATTTAATATAATGATTCTTGACAATAATAAACTAAAATGAGCATTTGTCATCTGTTTCATACTCGTTAAAATACGTTTGGAAAAGGGTATAATGGTAAATGGTAAATGGCCTGTATTTGATATAGCACCTTCTAGAGTCCTGGAACCCCCCAAGGCGCTTTACAACACAACCAGTCATTCACCCATTCACACACACATTCACACATTGGTGGGGATGAGCTACAATGTAGCCACAGCTGCCCTGGGGCGCACTGACAGAGGCGAGGCTGCCAAGCACTGGCGCCACCGGTCCCTCCGACCACCACCAGCAGGCAATGTGGGTTAAGTGTCTTGCCCAAGGACACAACGACAGCGACAGACTGAGCGGGTCTCGAACCTGCGACCTTCCGATTGCGAGGCGAGCACTTAACTCCTGTGCCACCGTCGCCCCACCGTCGACCCGGAGAATAATTTCTCCGGGTCAGGGATGAGGTCCTGCCCCAAGTGGAGGAGTTTAAGTATCTCGGGGTCTTGTTCACGAGTGAGAGAAAGCTGGAGCATGAGATCGATAGGCGGATTGGTGCTGCATCTGCAGTGATGCGGGCGTTGTACCGGTCTGTCATGGTGAAGAGAGAGCTGAGTCAGAAGGCGAAGCTCTCGATTTACCGGTTGATCTATGTTCCTACCCTCACCTATGGTCATGAGCTTTGGGTAGTCCAGCATCCCTGGCTTGCTAGGAATTTTTAAATTGCTCCCCATCTGCTTCTGGAGCTCAGCGTGGACCTCCCTGACCTGGTTTTGACGCCGCTCTGGGAGCCGGTGAGTCTTTTTTCTAAACTCCACCACGAGGCTCTAGAGGATAGGAGGCATGTTGAACTCCCATCACATCACTGGGATTTTAATCCTCCAGTCTGAAGTGCGCACCACAAACGACTATGCTTTCAGATGCAGAAAACGGACCAGAAGCGGAAAAAGGTGCCGTTTATTCTCTTATTTGGAAACCTGTGGACTCAATGTCCGGACCTGCTGGAGTTGGCACATCCTCGCCCCGTCAGCGAGGGTCGAGCACATGAGAGGTGAGCTGGGCGCCCCCTGCCCAAGTTGCCTCTGTCAATGCGCCCCAGGGCAGCTGTGGCTATTGTAGCTCATCACCATCAGCGTGTGAATGTGTGTGTGAATGGATGAATGATACACTGTGGTGTAAAGCGCTTTGGAGTCCTCACTCTGAAAGGAGCTATACAAGCGCGGGTCATTTATCATTTATCCTCCACACAATAGTTTACCATTTTTTAAGAAAAACAGTGTGTGAACACACACACTGATTGGATAACACTGCCTAGCTACCCGAAAACTACCTACTCACCACACTGAGCATCAGTCAGGACTAGCTTATACCTCCCCCTCATTGTGTCAGTGGTTAAGATTGTTTTAGAAAGTGTTTTTACATTTTACTCAAAATAAGGGCCGTTATGTATTATAAACCAAAATACCCACTATAAGCGTTTCAAATAGTAATTTTGGGACAGCACTTTATGTGAAATAAAAATAAAATTTAACCTGCTATTTGATCTTTAAAGAATGTGCTACTACTAGTTCATTCACTGAATTAATTTTAGAATCACTCAAAAACAAAGTTTATCTCTTACAAAATAGAATATCTACTAAGACATCACAATGTAGCCAAATAAACACTATTTGGTATATATGTATTTTGTGTGTGTGTGTGTGTGTGTGTGTGTGTGTGTGTGTGTGTGTGTGTGTGTGTGTGTGTGTAGGTGGGTGAAAAAGATGTATAACACTGTGACGCCCAACGCAAGAGGACAATAAATGGTTTTACAAGGCAATAATTACCATTTCAATATGGTTATTTACAATGGATTTGTCCCCAAAAGAAAGTAAGGTACCCAAATGTCTTTAAATGTTTGTGTATTGCAGAAGTCCTCAAAGAGCACTTTAAAAAATCTCTGTCCCCAATTTAAAGGTAAAAAAACTGGGAAAAAATTTGGTTAAATAATATCAAATGATTTTTTTCTTTTAAAAATTTGGAAAACGAAAATTGACTTACTAGCTTTTCTCTAAGAGCTGTGTCCTCTAAGGGGGTCGATAAAACTTGGGACCCCGACTATGAGTTAAGCGAGTATGTGTGTGTGTGTGTGTGTGTGTGTGTGTGTGTGTGTGTGTGTGTGTGTGTGTGTGTGTGTGTGTGTGTGTGTGAGTGTTGAACTGAACTCAATTAGAATGCTTCGTTCTGTGAAGTGCTTGAGACGACTTGTTGTGATTTGGCGCCATATAAATAAACTGAATTGACGGATTGAAATGTCATGTTTACAAATGGGTATAACGAGGAGGCTATTCTAAGCTTCAGATGTTTTCAACAACCTCACACAGAGTGTATAAATATGCAAAGGCTGTTGTGACTTATTGTCTTACAGCCACAAACCTACTCATTTACAGACTTTCAGGGCATTTATTAGTGATGATTCTTGGAGATGCTCTTCGTATTACCTGAAGGTGACCAATAAAGGGTGATGGTGCTGATGAAACAAAACGTTTCTCTGTCAAGATGCCTGTTTCCACGTTGCTAAACTCCAGACGGGTGTGGTCACCCGCCATCTGACCTGTAGGAGCAGAGATATAGAGACAAAGTAGGAATGAGTAGGTGAGGGGATGCAGATGCTGCTCAACTGTCGCTTCATGTTAGTAGCAAAGCTAAAATGTTCTTTAACCACATTTTTCAACCATATGATGACCGATGTGTTTATCTTAGTTAGTGACATCTCTATTTCTGTAACAGGATTAGTATATTCCTCAAAAATGTGCCATAAATAAATATGCATAAATTATCTATGTACCGCAGATGGTAAGTGCCAATTTTATTGTTGTTTTTACTGTTATATATTTCCATAATAAAATAGATCATGCAGTTATTTAATTTGTACATTATTATTAACTGATGAATAGTTCAGTTTTTAATATATGTTTTGAATTGATTCACATAACAGCTACTTCTTTATAGGACTGCAATATCAGTTTTTGTGTTATCGCCACAAACAGTTTTCTGCTAACTTTTAGACTAAATGCAAATTTAGATATAAAAAAAAGTATAAAACTCCAAATATGTATTGCATAAATTTAAAGTGTTGGATCAGAGTACACATTTTCTTCACGTAATATGATTTGTGATTCATGATTTGCATTTTATTGTAACATAACCAATCTGGCATGATCAGAAAAGTAGCTTGTAATGTTTTTCTACTTAATTCTGAAATGTAAAGCTACCCCTCTCACATGTTCTGGTGACAAGTCAGCTTTTCCACTATTTTTACAACGAAAAAAAAAATCCTAACATCCAAAAGAAAATGGGGTTTTCTCAGTAATCTAATGAAATGATTTCCCATAAAGCAGCTAAAGATGTAAATATGAGGTTCTGACGTTCCAACTGCAGCTAAACTCAGCAGTATAAGGAAAAAAGTCAATATTCACTAACATTACATATTTCATAAATTACACAGAATACGTTATAAGAACAACACAGCTTTTTCTATTATTAATTATAGGGAATTCAGGACCAGTTTACAGCTATCCATGTAATTCTAGAAGGGCTTTAATGTGGCAAACTGGATTTTAACATTTTCTTAAATATATTATCCTTCTCATCTTCTAGTTTAAAACAGACACACTCTAAGTACAAAGCTTATAAACCTTATCAGGATTTTTGTTTACCGTATTCATGCAAAACAATAAGGTAAGAGGAGGGGATAATTTGTAAACTATCTCTCAGCAAAGTTAGAAAGCATTGGACCTTCACACTTTTCTGCTTTTTGAATGAGAAGCAACCTTTCTTAAAGAGGAACTTCTCTGGTATTTGAATACATTTGCAGTGTTCTCTAGGAGGAAGGAGTGCCTTGTGAGTCGTTCTCTGAGCACCAGAATGAGGATGCAGAAGTCAACTGGAGGAGAAAATGTCCGAACGCGGCAGGTTTTGGAGTTTTATTTCCTGATATGTGGACATCTCTCCTCTGATTGGCTAACAGCAACGCTGATGTTTTCTTTCCTCAAATAAACAACTTTGAAGGAGTTCTACTGTGTGGTGAAGTTGCTAATGCTAACAGTTAGCGTCGACTGGCCGAGACGAGTTCAGCTGTTTCATAGACTCTAAACAACACCCTTCCCTGTCGTGAGTCATTATGTTGAATCCATGAATGCTAAGTAACAGTGTGTTTCACCATCTATTTTTTATCAGAAGCTAATGCAGGAAATAGGTGTAGGAGACTATTTTCATGTTCAGCCTGCATGTTGAACTCATGATTTCTCAGTGATAGAGCTCTTTATAAAAACTAGCATGTTCTGTCGACTTTTTCCTGAACTAGGACTCAACGATATGGATTACAGATGTTTGATATATTATTTCACAATGTTTTGTATTATTAACACTTGATATTATGGTCCAAATGCCCACTGATTCAGTGAAGACATAAAAACTTTATTTAAAGTAAGAAATGTGTATTCAGACATGTTAGGGGTGTTAAAGTAAAGACGGATACCTTCGGCCATGTCGTCATCCACTATGAGTTTGAAGTTTTTACCACGGCGGACCACTCGCACTGAGTGCCACTCGTTGTCGTTGAGCTTTTGTCCGGCATAAAGGACCTCAGGGCCTTTGCCTGAAGATGAGGGTGTGTTAGTCGAGGGATGGGGAACACACAAGCAAAAACGAAACCAAACCTCTGTGTGATTCCTCTAATTTATACAAAACATTAATCCTCAGACATCATCCTCGCTTACTGAACACTAGAAAGAATTTTAAAGCAAAGATTTGGTTTGTTTTTGACAGCAAAGGAGAACAGCATTTTCTATCACACACACATTTCTCTCTTTTCTTTTCTTTTTTCTTTTTTTTTTTTTTTTTTTACAAAACATGCCTAGACTAAAAATCATGTTTTAAGAATAATAATAAAATTATGTAAAGCCAGACAGCTCAAAGTGTACATTTACTGATGCCGTTCTGAGACGTCAGGATGTTTTTGAAACCACTAGAGGGCAGCGCAGCGCCATAGAGTCTATCAAACCGCCAGCTGGGGCTTTCTTCTTTATTACAATTGTTAATCTGAAGCATCCTGATGGAAAAAAGGTTTAAAATTTAAATCAAATGACATTTTTTTTCCCTTTTCATTGCTGCCATTCTATTAACTGACTGTTTGTAAACAAGACGTTTTTTCATCAGGCTGTAACACCTCAGAACACTGGAGAAAATTATTCAAAAAGGGGCTTTGCTTGACTTGTGCGTTTACTTTAAAATTGCATTTGAACTCTTGGTTTCTCTCTCTTCTAGTTTACAAATATCTAGAGTCCTCCTCATGAGTAAGAAAATATCCTCACACATTACTTGAATCAAACTCTACATCCAAATGTGACAGAGTGTATAATGTGGCAACCAGGGTACTGGTGTGACCACAAAAATAAGGTTCCCCATCAAAAGCTAAACGTTCAGCTAACATTTATAAACACACTGGAAAAAAGATCTTAAACCAGCTTTCTGGTTTCATGTAAAAAAAAAAGGTCCATTTATAATAATAGGGCACATTAAGTGAGATTTGCATAACTTTGATCTCTGGCTTTTCGCCAAATCTTCCTAAGAGTCTCCAGTGCTACACACATCCCTGCCTTTACACATCTTTTTCACCATCTACAATCAAATATTGACAGAAGGAGGAAAACTGCAGAAGAAGAATGTTGACTTACTGGTGTTACAGTTTATCCTGACACAGTCTAGATGGGGGAGGGGAGAATAAGTGACAGATGAAATCGCATCCTTCAAGGTTACAGCTGCAGACATCCAAAAGCAAGTAAAGCCACCTTCCGGGGACAGACACATGATGCCAGCGGCCATTTTTAACAACTGGTAGTCGATGTTTTCGTGACAGAATAGAAACGTCCAATTCATTTGTATCCAGTACAACATAAACTGGGTAAATAAAAGCTTTAAAGGTCACCTTTACTTATATTTTTAAAACATTTACAATGGTCTCGAGTAGGAATTATTGCCTTGTAAGTCATTCTTGGAGGGAAAAAAAGCTGTGGTGCGCCTGTTTGAGGAGATAGAAGTCAGTTAAAGGACAAAATGTCAGAACATGAAAGGATTTGGCATCTGCTTTCCTGATATTTGAACATATCACCTCTGATTGGCTAACAGCAAAGTGACTCTACCACTGAATCTGTTTGCTCTGCAACGTTGATGTTTTATCTCCACAAATAACACAAGTCTGGAAGAGTTCTACTGTGTGGTGGAGTTGCTAATGCCAAGAGTTAGGTTCTACTTGACAAGACGTTCTTTGCTGTTTCATGTACGCTAAACAAACAACAGCCTTCCCCGCCGTGAGTCCGGATGGGTGGGTCCATGAATGTTAAGTAACAGTGTGACGTAGATCTGTCGGGATTTTCATATCCTAGAGTTTCACAGTCTATTTTCTATCAGAAGCTAATGCAGGAGTTAGGTGTAGGAGACTATTTTTATGTTCAGCGTGCATGAGAAGCTCAGAGTGACCCGTTGTAAACGGGAATAACAATTTGAAAAAAAAATTCCCAGTGAAGTTGACCTTTAAAATAGATTTTTTAAAACAGATTTTAAAAAATGGTCGCTTGCAATTTTATGGCCACATCAATTTTTAAACCAAGCCACTGAAGCCCCAACACATTTTAACCTAATACATTACAGTTTATTTGGGGCACTTGGATATACAATTAGCCTTTTTGCATGTTTTTATTAACATAATCATGCATCAAATTGAACAGTGAGGCTGGTTTAGGTCAAAAATCCATGTGACCAAGTGGTTCATGTGTTGTCAACCACTACGGAAAAGTGGGAGCAAACAGCCAAGTGCCACGCAGCACCAACACTGCTCAGAGGCCTAAAGGTCACCTCTTCTCGGGGGATCCCGAGTCAGTCACAGGAAATTGCCTCTACTGTGATTTAAGGAGAGAACTAGTGTGCTTGTATGTGGAGAAGGTGAAGGAGTGCACTCTTGTATCTACTTGTCTGCTTTCTGTCAGGCTCACTGGTAAATCATTCTACTCTGTTGCACTCTGCTGCTACTGCTTGTGCCACCATCTGTAGGCGTGCTGGGTGCTGTGGCAGCGGGCTGTTTGCCAGACGGCCGCAGGCTCCTGGCCTTCGAAGGGGTGAGAGCCATCTTTGAACAAGGCATTGGGATAGGCCAGCGAGACCAAAATGTTACAAATGAACAGACAGAAACAAAAACCCTCCTTTAAGAGGAAAAGAAGAAGACCACAAGAATTAATAAGCAAAAAAATCAAAATAAAAAAAGGAAAAGGAAATCTGAGTGGAGCAGTAGATATATGTGGCATAAGATCAACTACAGTGGTGTGAAAAATGAGTTCATCTGTTTTTCATAATAAAAGGTTTCAGATCAGTAAAACACTATTTAATAGCAGACAAAAGTAACCTGAGTGAATTCAGAATTTTGATTTAAATAAATACATCATACATTAAAGGGATGATATCTGTCCGAACTACTCTAGTCCTTTGTGAAAATGTAATTGAACCCTAAACTTGATGACCTGTAACACCCCTGGGGAAAGCAACTGCAGGTAAATGTTTGAGACAACAGCCTGTTTCAGACCAAAGTTCAAACATTCTCTTTTGTGATGTTCTGCTAGAGAATAGAAGTCATGGTTCTATCAACTACAGCAAGTGGTCCTGTAGCAGCAACGCAGCCCCACACCATCACGCTACCACCACTGTGTTGGACTGTTGCGTTGCTGTTTCAGTGTTAGTTTCACACCAGGTGGCACAGGGTTTGCTTTTGCTTCATCAGCCAATAACGGCAAATGTGCATAGCAAGCTAGCTTAAAACATTTTGTAATGTCTCGTAACAACGTTCTAACGTCGTATAGCTTTAACCCTCTCAGGCTCAAAATAAGTTTTGATAAAAGGACGAACAACTAAGTCCTTCAGGGGTAATTCTGAGTTAAAAAATGCTCATGAAATACGTATGTGGAGTAAGCAGGTAGGCAGGTTTTAATGTTGCTAATCTGCAACACCTGCCTCCAGAGGGTTCAATGGTAAATGGTAAAATGGTAAATGGTCTGTATTTGATATAGCGCCTTCTAGAGTCCTGGAACCCCCAAGGCGCTTTACAACACAATCAGTCATTCACCCATTCACACAGACATTCACACGCTGGTGGGGATGAGCTACGATGTAGCCACAGCTGCCCTGGGGCGCACTGACAGAGGCGAGGCTGCCGAGCACTGGCGCCACCGGTCCCTCCGACCACCACCAGCAGGCCACGTGGGTTAAGTGTCTTGCCCAAGGACACAACGACAGCAACAGACTGAGCGGGGCTCGAACCTGCAACCTTCCGATTACGGGGCGAGCACTTAACTCCTGTGCCACCGTCGCCCAATGTTTTGTGTATATAAAGAAAATAAAAAATTATGAAGTACTTCTTCTTTATTTGTCTAAAACCCTCAGCCAATAACACGGCTTGGTCTTTAACCAAAGACTGGACCATCCAGGTGTCTGTCTCACTGAACCGCCGCACTTCCCTGGGTCCTCTATTCATTAAGCACTCAGAACACCACTGGTGTGAGAGGTTCCACTTCTACTTTGGGACAAACTACCAGAGTCCAAAAAAAGAAAAACATCATTTGAAGTTGGGGACAACAAAAAACATTTGGACTTAATAAGCGGCGACAGATGTTTAGCCCTCTCTCGTTAACGTGGCAATGCAGGTTCCAGTATCAGGGGTGTGTGGCCTAGGGACAGTGGCACAAAAGCAGGATATGCAGTGTATGCGACACATAGGGGAACTGAAGTGATGAGTCAAAAAATAAAATGTCTCTGCCTTTACTGTGTTTTTGTCCATTTGTGTATCTGCAAATTGTATAATTATCAACAGGGACGCTCGTGAGTGATTGAGCACCCCTCCACTTCCTCTTGCCCCTGCCTAGGGATGACAGCAGACAGGAGGGGTGAGAGTTCTGTAACTGTGTTTGTGTTTAAAAGGTAGTTTGTACGTTTTGATCAACAGATGCTTTCCTGCCTTGGAATTCTCTTGTGATGCAATTTTAATCTTGTCTCCTTTTTATTATTGATTCATGACCTCTGGATTTTTGTTTTTAAGTGGAGAGCAGGATATTTTTCCTTTTGAGATCTTTTAGCCTTCTTGTTATCAGACAGGCCCTATTGAATTGATTTGTTAAATCTTCTGCTCTGGTAATACTCTGGTCTGGGTGTGGCTGTTGGAACTGAATTAATATAAATATCCAAATAATTCTATTCATGTGTGAATAACAGCTATTTTATGATTTAACACATTTTTCCTACAGGGTCAGATAGATTTGAATACTTCCCCCCTCAGTAGTAGCAATAATAATAATAATAATAATAATAATAATACATTTAATTTGTATTGCGCTTTACATTTAAAAATCTCAAAGTGCTTACAGAAAAAATAAAAACGGAACATTATTATGAAAAGTTAAAAGCTTTAATAAAAAGAAATATTAATAATAATAATGAGTTTCAAATCCACATTCAGGTTGTCTTTGTTTGACTCCTAGATGTTTTGCTGATCTGAAACTTTGAAATGTGACTAAATTAAAAACAGACCAAATCAGAAGGAAAACTTTTAACAACACTGTACATGTGAATGTTTCAGTGATAAATGTATCAGAGGCCTAATAAATAAAACAATCGTTTAAACTAAAAGCCTTAGTGACAAAACATGATGAGTAAAATGGTTTCTATATTCAAAAGATGTGCTGAAGAGTATGGAGAACTTGGAGAATGTATTCGATCGATGCATTAAGAACCCTACAGACATCTAAGCTTCAAGGCAGAAAAACAGCTCAGGCAAATGAAAAGAAGTTCATGCAAAGGCGGAATACAGAACTGGTTAAGTACATGTTCTCGGCCGTAAAAAAACACACACAAAAGAACAAGGCGGGAAGAATGACGCCACACCCTCCTGCATCTTAAGGGGTGTGGACGAGCCAAGAGAGATGGTTTATACGATACCTAGGTTGACCGTCAGTTTGACTCTCCCGCTGTCGAGCTCGAGCCGCAGAGTGTCTGCAGACTCACGGGACGTGGCGGCCATGAGCAGACCGAACGCCCGCTGGGACATGAAGCGGAGGGAGACGTCCTCGGCCTCCGTGTGCATGATGTTTGGGATCACTATCTTCATGTACATGCTGCCGTCAAAAGACAGGATGGACGCCTCTGGAGGAGAAAACAACAGGGACAGCTGATGAGTTTAAATCCAAGATTTAGGCTTTTTTATTATGAGTGGGACCTCTGATGAGACAGATGAAGAGAAGTAGACAAAAAGTGAACCCTCGTGAACATTGGAACATAAAGTAGTAAATGGCTCTGCAACGACTGTCAACCTCTGGAATAAAAAAGAGAGGGAATAATGTTTTTGCCCGTGTGTGAGATATTCCTTCTGATGAACTACTTGATAGATGAAACTAATTCATATTTGTATAGTGAGTCCAGTTCAAGATGGCATCCACAGCTGATCAACATTACTTAACAAATAAAAGCAACTGGAAACATCACAAACGTGTACGTGCTGCATAACAACAATTATGACAGCCACACCAAGTGTCTCCACCTCCACTGTTGTTGAAAAGCTGCCATGTTGTTATTCTGAAGCAGAACGCCTCGTCTACTCACCCACGGTGACACAACCATGGTGTCTTCAGTGCATGAAATAAATTACAGGCTAACATCTAAGGAAATTCTATATTTAAACATGTAGCATTAAGAAATAAACTTTTATTTTAACAAAGGGCGTGTGCCATAGGGAGCCTTCTGATCGGCTCACGGGTCCCCGGAAGAACGAAAAAATGAATGCAAGTCAACGGGGCTAAAAACGCGATTTTCTAATCCGCTTTGCCTTACGCCCTGGATCACACACATGTACTGCAATTTCAACGAAGGCAATAATGGGTGTTTCGACCACGCCAGTCACGTAGTTTGAGATTTATTAGCTTGTAAAAGTTCGTAATTAGCATGACTACACACCAGAAATCGGCACGTTGCATATGTGGCGTCACCACATAATGTCCTCTCCCCTAATGTAGCAGACACCTTCTCTGCTGATTCCTGGACACTAAACCAACAACAGCCTTCCTTATCTTGATCTTCTTAGTCCCTACACCTCCAGCAGGTCCCTGAGGTCCAGTGATCAAAGCCTACTGGTTGTGCAGCACCAGGCTGAAGACCAAAGGTGACAGATCATTTGCTGCTGTGGCCCCCAGACTCTGGACCTCTCTCCCCCTGAGCCTGAGATCAGTGGACTCAGTGGTCTCCTTTAAAAAGCAGCTTAAACTCACCTGTTCAAGCAGGCTTTGGTGTGACCTTCATCACCACTCTCTCTTTATTCTGCTCTTTCCGCTTATTCCACCTTTCCCGTGATCCACTGATTTAATCTTTTCTATTCGTTTTCTCACTCCTTTTCCTTATATTATTTATTATTTTTATCACAATGTATTTTTCTCATTAAAAAATTGTTTTATTGTTTATGTGAAGCACCTCGTGATTTTTATCCTGAGAGGCACTATATAAAATATTGTTTTCTTTCTTTTCTATCGTGAGCCAAGATGAGCGAGTCCATGAATGTTAAGTGACGGTGTGAGTCGACGTAGATCTGTCAGGATTTTCTAATCCTGGAGTTTCACCATCTATTTTCTATCAGAAGCTAAAGCAGGAAGTAGGTGTAGGAGACTATTTTCATGTTCAGACTGCATGAAAAACTCAGAGATGCTGATCATTTTCAAAAATATTAAGTAAAAGCTGTTTCTTTTTTTCTGTGAGCCTGCTCTCAGTCTAAGCTGAATTACTGAAATCAATGGACTTCTTGTATCAGCAGGAGCTGATCTAGCGCAAAATTTGAGTATAAAGGGAAATGGAGGATATTCCCTTGGCCAATATTCCCCACTTGTCTCCATTCAGCTCTTCTCTTCAGTGACAATCGCTGACACATCTTGTTCAGAACTTTTCGTTGGCACTTTTGCTCTTTTCACAAGATCTTTTCCTTGTAACTACACAACCCGAGTGGGGTATGCAACTCCAAACACGCTGTAACACCAAATAATATCCACACATAAACAGTAGGGAGACATGTCACAAGGCTGAGGGAAAGAGCTGTGTCAGAATAATGTGTTCCTTCTCTTTAGATTTAGGCGCAGAGTCAGAGATTTTTAGCAGACTGGGGGTCTCTTGGGAAGAAAGAGACAAATAAAAAATGGTATCAAGCTGCGAGACTCTTCGCTTGATGCCCAATTATCTAATGATAAAAGACAATTTTGTGCAAAGGAATGCACCAGAGTTTAGGTTGGAGGTTTTGCACCATCTCACGAGACACAAAGGTGACATAAACACGTACAGAAAAGCAAAGTAAGGCTAATTTCTCTAACAGTCTGAAAGGATGAATCCTGATTAAAGCAGAAAGTGCTGCCTCAAGACTAACATTGCATTTAGTATCAAAAGTCAAGTAAAACCTTTAGGTTTGAGGTGTCTGAATTGCCCAGTACTAGCAGTGCTCCACTATATGCCAACACTTTTGTCTGTGTTGGTTTTAGGGTCTGTTCTGAGATACATTCTGTGAACGAGCTGTAGACTGTGTGAGCTCACTAGCCTGGAGGATAATAAAACCCTGGCTCACCATTGTTCTACCCTATTTTAGACTGCTCCTTCGCTTTTAGTGTCTCCTCTCCTCTAAAGAGAGAACACACATGAAAACAAGGCAGAAGCAGCCAAACCGCCATCTATGCATGCACAGAAATATTTCAGAGCTGACACATTTATCGATCAGTGGGCCAGGTTGAGTCCTGCGCCAAGAAAACGCAAAACCTTCCCATGAAAGTGTCTAACCAGAACTGTTTCCATGTTGACTTGAAAAATGTGCAGATATTTGGGACTACAATTTGACATACCTGGAAATAATGTTTTCTAAAATTACTAAACAGGAGGTCTAAGGCAGGCTTCTATTGGATTTTAATTATGTATGAAGCTGGTTTTTCATGATTGTTTGGTTGAAAAGTAAACCAAGATGAGTCTCTGAGAGTCGGTAGGTGGTAGACCTACTGTTAACCAGTCAGCTGCAACAAAAACTCAGATTTCTTGATCTGTTTAAAATTCTATTTCCTGCTGGGGTACCTTAGTCCAGGCATTTTGATGGGGTACTTTAACATTGTTGCACTCCATGCACACGCACCATGATGAGAGTGAACTCCTAGACTGCAGCTTCCTCCCCTGAAGCGGGTCAAAGTGAGTCACACTGCAAAGCTGCTCAAAAATAGCTCCATGCAAACCAGAAATTCACTGAAGCATTAATTGTGCCTTTCATTTCAGCAGATCCCACGTTAACTATGCTTATGAAGATGCAGGGACAACTGCGATTTGAAGAAGATTCCCCTTTCTATAAACATATGGAAGCATTTTGTTATATGTGCTGTCAAATTTGGGAGACTGGGGGTGCCGTGGTTTTCCCTATTTACCATCCATTCACTGGTCCTCCAGAGCCACGCCATCTTAAATGCTTATTATTTTTTCATGAATATGAACTTAAGAAAGGATCTTCAATGACTAGTAATATTATTATTTTATAAGTGCATTCATAATTATGTATTTTTGTCCTTCATTGTGAAATGAGCCTCTGTAAAACAACAAATGAAAGTAGAATATGATCTAATTATAATTCCTAAAATCCCATTCAGCAGTATTTTATGAGTATATGTGACAACGTTTGAATGAGAGGTATGAGTGTAGCAGATACAGTTGATTAGCTAATTACTTCTGACAGCGCGTACATTCTGCATTGGTCTGAACCCCCTCAGCCAAATAATCAACAAGACTGGCTATGGATACCGACTCAGGAGTGGAACCACAATCAGCCAACTCCTCAGACAACTCCTTCCAAACACACCCACATCACCCCGCTTCTCCTCCAGCTTCACTGGCTGCCAGTCAACTTCAGGGTTCATTTCAAGATCCTGGTTCTGGTCTATCGGGCCTTACATGGACAAGCACCATCTTACATTGGTGATCTTCTTAGTCCCTACACCCCCAGCAGGTCCCTGAGGTCCAGTGATCAAAGCCTACTGGTTGTGCCGCACCAGGCTAAAGACCAAAGGTGACAGATCATTTGCTGCTGTGGCCCCCAGACTCTGGAACTCTCTCCCCCTGAGCCTGAGATCAGTGGACTCAGTGGTCTCATTCAAAAAGCAGCTGAAGACTCACTTGTTCAAGCTGGCTTTAGTATGACCTTCTTCACCACCTCTCTCTTTATTCTGCTCTCCCTACCTATTCCACCTTCCTCAGGATCCACTGGTTTCCCTCTTTCCTATTCACTCTCTCTCTTTCTTAACATTTTTTAATCACAATTGCCTTTTTTTTGCTCATTTTAAATATATATTTTAACCATTTTCTAAATTATTTATTTTTAAATTTTTTGTTTTTGTGAAGTGCCTCGTGATTTTTATCTTGAGAGGCGCCATAGAAATACTTTCTTTTTCTTCTTCTTCTTCTACATGGATAAGGCCAAGAGCGAGCGACTCACTGATCCACACCACTAGGATCTACAGCACTGATATCGGAATGTCATTCAGACTTGAGAAGTGTGGTCAACGAACACTTTACATGTTACAGTTTTAGTCTGTAACACAAATAACTCTACAGAAGCTTTGTGATCAGAACCTGACAGATCTGTTGCTTCATAAATGAAAGACTAGCTAAATTGCAGGAATCTGAATTTATGTTCTTCATCACACCTACTTGTCATTAATCAGTCTGTGCTGGACTCAGATTGGATTTAAATGGCTTTTATGCTTTGCAAATAAGAATTAACTAGAAAGTACATCTCATTTGTTGTGGCTAAATTGAAGATAGTCAAGGTTTATTTGGAGGGGTTATGGTTGATTTAGAGGAGATTCAAACAAGTAAGATGTAAAATTCAGTGTGATTGCCAAAACAGGGACTCTTCTTTCACAGTTTTCATGCATAATAAAGTGTTTTAAAAAATACAGAATTCCTGCAACTCCAACTGGTTAACAGTTAAGACATGAAACATATTTTTCTGCATGAGATGCACGCAGTTAAAATTAGACATGTTATTTTGTCCCATCCTGCCTCTGGTCACTGTGAAGATGTACTGGCTCCTTTTACACAAACATCAAATATGTGTATGGCACCCAGAGAATGCCGTAAAAAACACA